CCCTGAGGGGAAGGCGGCGGGCGTGCAGGGCGAGGGGGGGCACGGCCTGGTGGTCTGAGCCCGCCTCGGAGCTCCTGTCCTGTAGCCCCTCTGGCTCGGGGCTGCCGGGGAGAGTTGCTGCTGCCTGGGGGCGGGGGGGGAGGGGACGTAAAACTACTGCTCTAATCGGAAAGTATTTAGGGTGAGCACCTCTTTTTCTCAGTACGCACGTGTATGCGTACTCGTTAGTGACGGCGCAGCCTGGCTTATTTAAAGAGAGTTAGTGCAGTTCTGATATAAGTATGGTACTGTGCTTGCAAAGGAAGAAAAAAAACCCACACCTTCTCTTATCTAAGCGTAACTTCAGTCCGTTTGGTTTGCCTTTATCTTTTATATGACATGGCTTTGCTCAGGAGGAATGCAATAATAAAAATAGAGGTGTTCTTTAAGTGATACCTTGTTCTTCAGGGGGGTTGAGTTGGGCTGAGCTATAAGAGAGTTGAATGCTTGCCTACTGTAGTGACTTTGTGGCTGGCTCTCGAGTTTTCAACCAGTTCCAGCATTTCTGAAACTCGAATCCTCCCTGTGAGAAGAACAACGTGAGAGTGAGACTGAACAGCAAGGGTTAGCGTTTAAGCTACTTGCTGACTGCAGCTGGTGATGGTTTTGAAAGAAGTATAAAATAGAGCAGCATTCTGTGTTTTAGATGCAGCTTCATTCTGAGGAATGGAGAAGGCACATGGAGTAACTGTTTTGTTTCTAGTTTGACTTCCTTTGAGGAAAACCAGAGAATTGCAAATTGATGTCTTCTGGGAGAAGGTTAGAGAGTTGGGAAGAGTGAGTTCATTCACTTGTAAATAAACGTGTGACTCTAGAGCCAAGAATGGGGGAGACAAATTACAAAGCACTCAAATTGTTTAAAACCAAAGGTCAAATAGAGAACTACTTGTTTCAGTACGGTGGAAGAGAAAGCTGAAATGATCGTGCTGAGTGACTGCCTTTACTGTGTAAAGTTAGAAATCGCTTATGTTTTCTTCAGCCACTCTAAGGACTGATGACTTAAGATTGGGAAGAAAATACAGCGAGGAATACAAGGATGATAGGATGCCACGTGGTCACCCGGGATGAAATAACAAAACTGGAAGAGTTTACAACATCATCTGCTGAGCCTCAGCAGCCAGTAGCATGTATGGAAACTGTTGACTTTCTATTGTGTAAAACAATATATGTTTTTTTAGAAAGACAGGTGTCTCAGAAAAGAGCTGAAAAAGAAGGTTTAGCTGCTTCTCTTTAAGGTTGTTTTTGCTCCTGTCTATGGGTGTAGGTTAAAGATGCTGAAGATAGACTTTTGTCTGCATTACCAGTGAACACTGAAGCTTTTTGTTTTGTATTGAATGGGGCCGTAATACAGAAAAAACAGGACAGTCAGCAGCTTGTAAGTCATGGGTCTAATTGTCAGTTAAGAAAATCTAAATAGTGGAAAGACAGTAAGCCAGCAGTGCAGGTAGGTGAAGTGCACTTCACTTTGCCAGGAAAGGGTTGGGCAGGTGTAACTGAGAAAGTGCAAAGTTTTTTTGAGTTTTGTGGGGCTTTTTGTTTTTCAGTTGCTCATCTATCAATGATTCATAACAGGGCTAGAGGTACTAGCAGTTGTCATTATATGTGTTGCTGACAGGATTATTATCCTCTCTGGGACAGCTGAATTCATAATTCATAGCTGTTAAACATCATCAATTGCATCTTTAAAGCTGTTGTCATCATTCTTGAAAGTTTGGCCAGCCCCAAGGTAACACTATCATAAAGGGTTATCTAGTGGTGTTCCTGCTGCTGAAGGGTAGAGTTAAGATATCTGTGTAGGTGTCGTATACATTGTTGACCTTAACTGCTAATAAGAAGTGATACGGAAGTTAGTATGCCGGACAAAGGATGATCTAGCGGTACTACAGGGGACTTCCTATTTGAGAGATTAAACTAGAAATTGGATACGGCCAACTGATAGTCATCAGTAAAAACAGTAACAAACGGTTTTAAACAGTCAGAGTATTGCATCAAGGAGTGCTATTTTCATGTCTTTGTGATGATTCAGATGACTTGGGCTTGGGGCAGGAAGCTCATACTTGTAATAGGGATTGAAATGAGATTGTGGTTCCTTGGTTTTAGGGTTTTGTTGGTTTGTTGGCCGTTTAAGAAAAAAAAAGTCAGATATTAAACAGCGTAATTCTTGCAGAAAAACACACCAGGTTTTTTTCCTTTTTCTAATTGTTTAAGAACAGCCTTGCTTCTTACAGATCTTGGGGTTTTTTATTATTATTATTTTTGTTTTCTAAACTCAACATAATTTTTTTGAAAACACTTTGAGGCTTTTTCTGGGAAAAAAAACCCTTTTTTTAGGGTGGATGTCTTTTCTTTCATCAAGATGTGTTTCTCAGTAAGGGAAATATTAATTAGAAGTGGAGTTTGATGCCTGACACTATTTTCTTTTGCTCTGGGAGAGGTATCTTTCTCCTGCCCCCCACGCCCAAGCAATTAACAATGCATATTGCTTTTAGTGACCAAAGACTTATTACAGCTCACCAAGATGTAAATTTTATTTGGATTGTAGTTGAATAAATCGCAAATATCTTGGTTTTGTGATTAAATATAGAAGTTGCACTACTGCAAGTGTAATTGACTCTACCATTAAAACCTTTTGGGTGGGGGGGGGAAATCTTAGGCCTTTTTTGTTGCTGACTTCAACGTTGTGCCTGGATGAGAAATCTAGCCAAGGAGAAAGGCCAACATGGAAATGATAGATGCAGCGGCTTTGTATTTAGAAAGTCTGTGAGGGTAACTCATGCTTACAGATAGCTGAATATGTGGAGCCTGACTTAATGTGGTCTTTGGGGTTCTGTGTTTTGTGGGGGTGGGTTTTTTTGGAGGGGGTGGCTTTGGGTTGGTTTCTTTTCAGAAATTATACTTTGGACCTATTTTTATTTACTTTGCAGTGAGATAGCATGGTCCACAAGAGATAGATAGGACTTTGTTTAACCATACTTGGATATTTTTAGGAACAGGTATATGTACTTGTGTTATTTAGTAAAAGTGGTAAGTGGAGGAGGTGATGTGCACCATTTTGGTGTGTTGATTTGGGGTTATTTTACCTTTTTAAACAATCAGTGTGTGATGCCTTTCACTCAATACTAGCTTTGAGCTTGTTATCAGTAGATTTCTGGAACATATTGGCTAACTCAGAGCAATCCTTAAAAAGTTAAGATTTGTGTCATGGTTTAACCCCAGCTGGCAGCTCAGCCACACGCAGCTGCTTGCTTGCTCCCCTCCCCAGTGGGATGGGGGAGAGAATCAGAAGAGTAAAAGTGAGAAAACTCCTGGGTTCAGATAAAGAGAGTTTAATAGGTAAAGCAAAAGCCACACATACAAGCAAAGCAAAACCAGGAATTCATTCATCACTTCCCACCAGCAGGCAGGTGTTCAGCCATCTCCAGGAAAGTAGGGCCCCACCACACGTAACTGTTACTTGGGAAGACAAACGCCATCACTCTGAATGTCCCCCCCCTTCCTCCTTCTTCCCCCAGCTTTATATGCTGAGCATGACGTCCTATGGTCTGGAATATCCCTTGGGTCAGTCAGGGTCAGCTGTCCCGGCTGTGTCCCCTCCCAGCTCCTTGTGCCCCCCCAGCCTGCTGGCTGGGGGGGGGGGGGGGGGAGCAGAAAAGGCCTTGGCTCTGCGTGAGCACTGCTCAGCAATAGCTAAAACATCCCTGATTTACCAACACTGTTTCCAGCACATATCCAAAACACAGCCCTATACCAGCTGTTATGAAGAAAATTAACTCTCTCCCAGCCAAAACCAGCACAGATTGTTATTTCCAGTAGGCAATATGTGGTTTCTTATGTTTTCAGTTGTCTTTAGTTCAGAAGGTTGAAAACTGTTCTCTAAAAGTTTGCATTTCTATTAAGCGTTGCCTAATGGCTTAAATTAGAAGTCCCTTTATGACTAGAAAGAAAAGAAAAATTGTCTCTCATTGAAACTTCCAGAACTTTGTAATGATGTGATATTTGGTATAATATTGATTTCTGTTATATGCATATGTGGGGATGCTTGCAGAAATTGCTGGATATTATGTTACAATCAAATATTCAAGTCACAGTAAAGGGCAATATATTTACTCTCTGAAGACTATGTAGCCATTCAATTGTATTTATATTTTATATAATAAGAACTTAAAAAGATTCCTTTTAAATAAAACCTAAATTATGCACAGTCTTGTTGAACTTTTGCCTGTGCTCAGTGATATTACCCCTGCCAGTTTCACGGTTTGTTTTGTAAATACTAGTATATTGAGCTTTGTTTTAGTTTCATATGAGCAGAGGGAGCAATCTGTCTCTTTAAAATTTTCAGATTTTTTTCCTCTTCAGTAATCTGAACTCTAAAATATTTTTTTTTTTTTTTTTTTTTACAATTTTCAGCTATTCTTATGGCAGTGCTTTAGGCCATTACGGTACTATTTGTTTTCCATGTTACCCCCAGCATTTACCATAACATTTAACTTTAGCCCACATGTGTGGTATAGTTTGATGTTCACTTCAAAGCATATCCTGTTTACATCTGGATAAGAGTTCTTTACGTTGAAGTAAGGTTTATACTTTCTGAAGTTTACAAAATTTACACCTGTGTTGGCAGGGGACTAGTCTTGGTGACCAGTGATGTTATAAGCGCACAACCTTTTTCTTTTTTTTTCCCTTTCCCTCCAAAATTTGTGTCAGAAGAGAGGGGTGGGGGGGAAGTGTCTTTTACAGCTGTGGTTTACAGTTGGTCCAGCTTTGAGTAGCCAGAATTATTATTATTAATAATAATATTCAGCAAAGTTGAGCTTCTTTAGTAAGGGTGGGTGAGATATCTTTAGATGTTTTGAGTGAGGTCTGTTTGATTGTGCCAGGTAAGATCAAGATAATGGTGCAGTATGAGAAATGTATTGTTAAGTACTGTAAAGATGCTTAGAAATATGGATAGCACGCACAAATTGAAATAATGGTGAAGATGCTCCATTTTCCCAGGACTGTAGTAGGAGTACACATCTTGCAAGGTGTTGCTATGAGGCAGATGGGGTTCTTATGAACAGCTGGAACAAAATCCTGATGTTCTCATTGTGGTGGTTATGTAGCTTCTTATCTGTGTCAAGACAAGTTTATTAGACATCTAGGTGCTTGCGGCTGCAATTAAGGTGGCCTACTGAGAGCTCTCTAAAGCCTTTGTTGAGACAGCATGGCACGATCTATTAGATTCTTACTGAACTACACAGTCATGCAGAATTTGCTGACAGATGTAACACCAGTCTTCCTGATTTGAAACTGCAATGTGACACAGAGATCGTGCTTGGTGAAGCTGAATCAGTTTCGTCTAAGCTAAGAAGAGAAAAAGAATGTCCACTTTTTGTAGCAAATAAATTACTGTTTTGTATCTGCAAGTGCTGTGAACTGTGGTTGGCCTGGATGCACACAGGTCCATCTTTGCGTTGTAAATCACTCTCCCATTGTGACTCACTCCTTAATTTAGGTGAATACATAAATGTGGGGTGTGTGATCACTATATTCTTTTCCTTTCCTTCCTTTCTACCCTAGTGATG